AAGAGCCAATGGCGTGTAAGACTGGTTTTCTGGGGGTGATGGTGAAGAAGATAGACTTACGATCTGTACTCCTCGTTGGTACCGCCTTCGCCAGCACCGCCATCAACCCGGTTGTTCCTGGCGCGCTCCTGGATGAAGTTGCCGGTCTCGAGGTCCTGGTCGTCATCCTCGGTGTTGATGGGTTGAGGGTAGTGCTTGTTGCCTCCTTTTCCTATTAAGCCCGCCATTTTGTATGGTGCCATAGAACAACGGAAAAGGAATACAGTCCAGCTGTAGGGGTAGTAGAGGCGAGCGCAGGACAGGTATATATAGGAAGGTAGAGGATGAGGGAGGAGAGAGGAAGGAGGGGCAGAGCAGGGTGAGGAAGAAGGCTAAACCAGAAGAGACATGAATCACGGTGGGAGAATGGGGCATATTATATTACATCTGTCAAACGGCGAGGCCGGACTGGTCGAAGAGGTTCCGCGGATGGGAACAAGAAGATGGGACCAAGGCAAGGCAAGGCAAGGTAAGGAAGGGCATGGGCCACGGCCCCCAGTGTGGAAGGGGGAAAAAAAAAAGGTAGACTGGCATTGTGGCATACTCCATACTCTCCGTAGTTTGGTACCTACCCTCGCGCGGCAATGGAGAGGCAAGAAACGAGACGAGAGGCAAGAGACCGCGGCGTCGGCGTGTGTGAGCTGTGTGGTAGGTGTGTGTGTGAACAAGGGACCGGCGTGTAGCTGCGTACCCCGTCTTGCTCGGATCAACGCCAAGAAGTTGCAAGCATCAAAACAGATGCGGGTGAGGGAAAAACCCACACACTGTGACCGGGCGAGCGACGTCGATGCTATTTCGAGCAAGGGTACGGATACAGAGCAGAGACGACGGGACATTTTTGCCGCTGGGCAAGCGTCTGGCGCGAGAAGTAGGAGCAGAAGGGAGCAGCAGCAGTACATACCTAGAGCAAAGAGCGAGATAAAAAAAAAACTGGACCGAGAAAGGCGTTGTCTGTCTATCTGTCTGTCTGTTACTGCCAGTATGTACCACTGTGTACACTATACAGCTTAGCTGCCGCTAGAAAGACACTGACAAGACAAGAGACGAGGACTTCGTGCCGAAGAACTGGGGAGCTACACTAGGACGAGCTGGCTGGCAGGGCAATCCAACCTACTACGGCGTTGGACGTGGGGACCTTTGGGACCCGCGTTCCTTTCCATTAGCTTTGCGGCTTGCGGCTGGCGGGCTTGCTTGCCTCGCTCTCTCTCTCGTGTACGTGTGAGTGTGCTCTGTGCCGTCACGCCGTGCTATCTCTCTCTCTTTCTCTTTCTCTCTGCCTCCCTCACTTCCATGTCTCGTGCCTTTTTTGGAGCCAAGCCTCTTTCTGTGTGGAAGAATATTGGCCAGCTTCTAGCGTGAATTTGGTCCCCCAGATGCCCCATTAGACGGGCCGACCTATCAAGACAGAGACAAGTCGCTGTCTCATCTGCCAGGATGCGAGGATGGATATCTGACAACAAGGGGAAGCCAGCGTGAGTCGTGCGTTTCGAGGAAGAAACTCTGCAGTGACTTGCCATTGTATGGGGGTTGAGGGTGAAGATGGGGGTCAAGTTCAAGTCTCTATGATACAAAAATAAAATGCCTCAGTAGTACTACACGGCGTGTCCTAGGGGGGGTGGTGGTTATGGCGGGATGGACTGGGCTGGGCTGGCCGCTTGCTGGGCACGTCAATAAAAAAGATTTGAGGGAAAAAAAGACAGACGAGGTCAGAAAGAAGAGGAGCTACTACCAGTACGGATACCGATACACTAGGTACGCTACGTACTTGACACAGACATAATTCCGAGATTTCGTCGAGCTCTCTGCACCGTACGGAGTATTCGTAGTTCACCTCTGTTCTCGGGCAACCCCCCGCGCGCCGCCGCAAAAAAGTCGAGCTCCAGTCTCCAGTCTGCAGTCTCCAGAGTTCCTTCGGTTGTGAGGAAGTGTCCCATCTGTCTAGTCCACGTTGAGCGCGGACCCGGACACACCCCCCTGCTAAAGGACATGTTCCGTGGGTTGAAAGAACAAGAGACGTTTGACTATCAGGGACTGGGACTGGGAGAGTTGGAGCAGAGAGAAGAGAGACCAGAGTCGGGAGTCGGGACTTGGAAGGGGGAGGGGGGGTCTGGAGGGGAGGATTTCCTTTCCATTGCCCCTCCAATTGGACGACCGCACCCCCCTCCCTTTGACCCCTCCAGAGTGAGAGACTTGAGAGTCGAGAGTCGAAAGAGAGAGAGAGTCCCGGGGCTACGTACCGTGTGAGGTATTCGCAATACGTACTCTTTGTCCTCCACTCCCCATCTCTTTTCGTCCGGCCCCTTGTCGTCGCGACAGTTTCAGCTCTGCTCCGAAACCCACATCACGTGACTTAACTCGCCGCCGCCTCGTTCCCCAATTCCACGTCCAAGACCTCTAAGCCGGTGAACCCTGGAAAGCCTTGGTCCACGCGCGATAAGCAACCCAGCACCAAACAGGTAGGTATCTTTGTACCTCTCCGAAGTCCCGCCATCAACCTTACCGCAGATGGCTTGCTCGACAATGGAGTCTCCGTACGGCGAACCCTTTCCGCTTGGCATCCACCCGCTTTCGCGTCCCGACTTTGCACTATGTACGGAGTACTTGCAGACCGACGCTGCATTGTTGGATCTCTTTGCACATCTGCACCGGTACTGAGAACCGCTTTGCACAGCACTACTTACTTTTGCAGCATGCAGCGTGGTGGGGGTGGGAAACTTCCTTTTGGAGGAGCCGAGGCGGGAAGGGCAAAGGACCACCCACCACTGGCAACGTCCAACTCCCAACTCCCAACTCCGTCTTGCTTCCGCTGTACAGTGCGGACGGGCACTTGGACGGGCATCTAGGATAGAGCCTCTGCCAAGACTCCAATTGTCATGTCCTCGTCTTGCCCTCGACTGCGGTGATGCAAGTCTATGTCTGGCTATGGCTCTCGAGACTCCAGTAAGCAGCGCCAAGAAATCCCCGGAATAGACCGCGGCGAAGGGTGTTTGGTTGCGTGTGAAGAGGGTGGTCCATTCACGATTCGTAGGGTTTTGAATTACACGAAAGTGACAGGTGGCGGTCAAAGCCCTCTCTGTCTCTCTCTGTGTCTCTCTCTCTCTCCCTGAGCTCTCACTGTGACACTGCCTCTGCCCCTCCCCCAAGCATCGCCAAGTCTTTCCTTGGAAACACTGTCAAGCGATCTGCCTCGCGACGGGCCTTGAGTTGAGGCTATACGTGAACCATCCCATCCCTCAAGTGTTGCGCGTTTGCCTTGCCTCTCTGTCTCTTATACTACACACCTGTTAGCGTATTTCTTTTTTTAAGCTCTTCACCGCTGGCACTGCACTGCAGAGGAAATCTTTAACCCAAATTAAGAATAAAAAAACAAATCCGACCAACGAGATACTCCGGGGAGAAACCTGCCAAGCCTTTTTACCCCCGGCCAAGCCCAAAACCAAACCTCGATCAAAGAGTGCAACGGTATCGTAGTAGCATTAAGAGTATGGATTTCCTGGAATAGCAGTATGAGTGGTTTCTACTTGCCACGGTACGGAGACTTCAAGACAAGATAGTTTGACGCCATGTGCCGTGACTATCCAATTGCGTTCAGTATGTACACACACACACAGACTGATTAATGTTGGGGCCTATGGATATGGGGAAATGGGGAAGAAATCACCGCAATATTGGATGGGGGTGGGAAATGAATCGGCGACGTTCAACCTGCAAAGTCACTCACGTTGCGGGCCAAGAAAAAAAAACGAGGCAGATTTTGTGCAGTGCGGGCAGCGCATACGATGCGGGATATTGGGGTCCCGTTCACGCGCCGTATGCGTGTGCAGCAATGTAGCTTGTGCGGTGTGCCCGCGGTGTATAATCCCTATGTCCTCATTTGCGCTTGAACCTGGCTTGACCGACCGGACTGGCTGGCGTCCATCAAATGCCTCACCCACGGAAGTCAAGAACGCCACTTGGCTCGTTCTGGCTGTATCCTGGGGGAGGGCCCGACTGGCCTTGCTCTTGGCTTGCGTGTGGTGAAAGTGGAAGCGCTACGGATACGTCAATCTGCCTAGTTCTCGCATCTCGGCACGCAAGGCAGCGTGTAATACAGAGTAGTCAAGTAGTCTCGACGAAAAGATAGGGACAGCATGGCAGTCGGAGGCGAGATGACGATGGATTATGGTTCCAGACGGAGCTGGATGGATGATTGCTGTTCAATGTGGCAAGTCGGCCGGCCCGTTGACCGGTCACTCCTGTCGACGAACCCCGTTCCAACGAAGTTTCCACGACTCCTCCTACGCGGGTACCCAGCTGTGAATTACTCTCCGACCTCCGACGACTCGACGAGCGAGCGGAAGTGAGGACTCGACTAGTCAGTGGGAAACCGGGAAGACGCCATTGGACCAACGTGGCCAAAAGCGAGATTTGCGCGAAAGAGACCCGTTGGATGATCCGTGTGCAATTTCTGGCGTAATACGCTGCAAAGAAGTCGCGCTCCGCTGTCGCTGGCCCTTTGCTGCTTGTCATGCTCGTCTGGCATTCGTGGGAGGAGCCACAAACGTCCCAAGCCAAGCCTGGAGGAGGAGGCGAGTCCTGACTTTTCCGACTCAGGGACATCGTGCATTGGTTTGTGCGGCATCGAAGGGAAACCGTTCGCGCAATGCATTGCTGGAGCCCATTTCTTTGCCATGGATGGGGGCACCACTGGCTCACTGGCATACTGGGTGGACACCGGTTCGGTTCCATGGAGATGCCTGCCACGATAGGAAAACACTAGCAGCAACGCTAGAATGAAAAGAAGAGGAGTTCCTGGGGCAGCAAGCTGACGAGGAGGGTCCCCTTGCTCCAATGGCAGGGCCCCTGCAGAGCCCCAGGGAACCCACTCGATCCCCATCAATCCTCTCGATCGAACAGGGGTTTTGGAGCTTCAGTTGCCGTGGGGTTTCTCTTTTGACGTGCTGCGAGCTGCAGATACGCGGGCTGTGGCCGAGCCTACGCGATTTCACTTTTTGCTCGCTCTTTTTTCGCCGTGTTGCCCTTCCCTCTCATCCTTCTCGTGTCTCTTTTCTCTCCCCATCGTTGCCAATTGGTGGCCAGTCCTCCCGCCTGGGAACTCAATCTTCGTCCGACCTTTGCTTCTTCCTTTTGTCGATTGCGGCTGTGAAAAAGTCCCATTGATGTGCTGGACCTGCATGGGAGAGGGTGGCCGGGAGAGTTTATGGAAATCGTCATTGCTTAGGTACACGCCAAAGTATGATAGTGGTGACAGAACTCCCAGCCGGGCCAGCCACGGGGCTTCGTGTGTCTGCTCAGAACTTGAGAACAGACAATCGGGGCCTACAGCAGTAAAAAGAGACCAGCTTCAGCTTCAGCCAAGCCTCCCCAACTAGAAGTCGCCAAGACATGGCGGGACTGGACCCCCGGAAGTCTGTCTCTCTCTCTCTCTCTCTCTCTATGGTTGGCCTAGCTGGACTCGCTCTCGGTGCCGTGTTCTACTGCCCGTCTTTCCTTTTTCGAGTGTTCTGCAGTCGTCCTGTCGCTGCATAAAGCGATGCTATTGCGCTTGCCAGACGAACCTGGAAAATCCCATCCAACCTTCGGTGCTTTGGGAGAAAAAGTCCCGCAGTCTCGGTGCAGCAGCCGTGTGGGCGGGAATTTTCGACACACGACAAACACGGCAATTTTGCGGATCCCTTGCAGACTAGCTAGCCCACCTTTGGCCTGCCAATGCATGTCAACGAATATCCGAGCCGTCATTGGCTGGGATCGATGAAGAAGAAGACGGGATGGGATTGGATTGGCAGCGCTGGGTTGAATGGATCGGTGGATCAATGTTCTGCAACTGTGGGAACTGCGGAATTGTCCAGGGCGTGGGTACAATCCAGGTACGGATACCCCTGCTATGTCGGCAATTCGACGTTTCTCCGTCATGGTCTCTTTCCCGTCTTTCTCTGTGGCTCTCTGTGTGTCTCTGTCTCTTCCTGATTCGAAGGGGTATGGATGGGATGGGACGGAACGGGGATGCTGTTCCTTTCCTTCTTCGCCTTGCCGTGTCGCGGGAATTGTCGTCGTCGTGGTTGAGTTGAAACAGTCAACACTGTGGAAGATCAAACATCCAAGGAATCTGAAGGGACGAATTGGGACTCTGCAAGCGTGCGTCTGTGTGTTTTCTCAACCTCTTTTCCAGGTTGCCTTGGGCCTCCTTCATGGTAACCGTAGCGTTGTGTGGCACAGGGATTGGTAGAAGCTTTGGTCAAGACCGACCCTCGCGTCGCACGACCAGGATGCATTCGGAAACAACTTGGCGCGCGATCCGTGATCTGTATTCAACTCGGGAGGAAGATAAGAGAAGGACATATTTTATTTGGTGCTCGATTGCCTTGTCCTGTGACGAACGTGCCTTGTTGGCCCGGGCTTGGAAGTTGGGCCAAGATTAGTCGTTGGCGTGCCTGGATGAGGAATTTCCCAAAGTCGCTGGGTCATTTTGCCGAGGCCTGGGGAGGCATGTGTTCCATGGCCATGTTGGTAGCACTAACTTGGTATCTGCACTCCGTAGACATGTTTTGTATGATTGTATGCGTTGTTGCATCCATCGCTCGCACCGTCCGGGCTTCTCTCGGTTTGTTTTTTGGGGGGAAGGGTATTTTTCCTATCTTTCTCTCTCAATGTCGCGGCTCGCTTGACAAAGTAATTTGACGAGCAGCCAAGCCTAACCCGGACTCTTCCACTTGGCCTTGGGAATCTGGGGTGGATGAGTGGTCAGTGATGAGTGGTGGATGGATGGTGGGTGGATTTACCGCGGCTTCGGTTCTGACGAAAGAGAAGACGGGACCGAAATGGCATTGGCAACGGATTACGGGCCCCCAACTTTCCAATAAATCAAGGAAATCAGGCTGAAGGGAAATCAAAGGCTCAATGTTCGGGAAAGCTTGGGGGTGAGTCTCGCTCTCTCTTCGTTTAAACCCGGCCGGTCCTGCATCTCGCGTCATTACCGAGATGCGAACATTTGGGCCCTGGGCTCTCCTGCCGTGTCTGCCTACCAAAGGAAGCATAGCGCCCATCTCGGTTCACTCCTTCCTTTTGGTGCTTTGCAGCAGTTTTTTATGGGGAAAAAAGGCTGGAAGGGAATAGTGGGGGCTGAGACATGACCATCTCACTTTCCAATCGCGACTTGTGACTTGGCCATTTGACCCAGGCCTCAACTTGCCAAGATTACTCTAATGAAATCAAAAGCTGGGGGAAATCGGAGTAGCAGGCCGAGTTCACGAAATGCAGGCACAAATGACAGGCAAGCCGCACAACACTGCGAAAGGCAGGCAAGCATCCCGCGACATTTGATGATGGCAAGTCAGATATCACAAACTACGCAACGTCGTCCTGGAGTCCTGCTCTATGCCAACAAACATACATTGGGGCTTTCTTTCGGTTCCCCCCCAACCCCTACCCAGGTCCCAAGTTCCCAATAATCCCAACCTCAAGGGCATTGACTTGTCTGATTTGAACATTTCGTCAATTGAGGCTTAGCAATTAGACTCCAGCCTCAAGTGAGAAACCTCTTACTTCTGCCGAGTCGTGAGCTTGGACCGTGACCGGTAAAGTAGCCACTTACATCGTCATAACCCAAGTCAATTGACCCGAGCCACCGATGGCGCCTATCAAGCGTCGGGTGGCTCTTCCGACTCTGGTCGTTCCCGTCGAGTTATCCGTACACTAGTTGTGAGCCTTGCACTCTCAACAAGGTGCCCTGCCACGCTGCCCTGCCTGCCCTGTTTTCGGATGGCTTGTGCGTGCGCAAGTATGCTCGAGGCTGTGGGATGCAAGATAAGAACCAACAACAAAACGATTTGTGCAACAAGGGGCCTCATTCATTGAGTGGGGGTCCCCTGTACCTGAGTTTCCGTCTCTTGTGCAGAACCACAGTCTGCCGCTTTGTTGGTTCGAGTCGTCTGTACCTCGACCCTGGTCCCGCGCGGCCGACGAAGATTGTCAGACAAAGAACGCCATATCCCAGGTACGATTAAACATGGAAGGACAAGGAGAGGAAAAAAAAAAGTTAACGTCCGGCGAAGGCGACGGAGGCGGTGGTGGCGGCGGAAAAAGTCAACGACGACGGTCTTGCATCTGCAGATATTTTGATATGCAATTGGACGACGGGACACCGCGGCCACAGCGGAGATTCCTGTCGTTATTCCTGCCGTTAAGGTTGGGAACATGAACGGCACTCTGGACGGCAAGCGCCAAGCATCGTCAAGTACCTACCTGCCTTGCCTTGATGCTTGGGTGACTTCGTGGTTCCTGTCAATCCTTTTCCTCATTCACCTGCCTTTCTCCTTCCCTGCCTCACCTTGCTCACCTGCCGCGCCTGCCTCACCTGTGGTGATCTGCGTAAGCTGTGGCAGGCGGGCAGGGCTGGACTTGGCTGCGTTTCGGAGAAAACTCCATCGCTTTCCCAGCCTGCCACCAACATCCAACCACAACACCATCACAGACTTCAAAGCCACGGCCGAAACGCAAGCTCTCAATCACAATGTCGTCAATGTCGAGTCGCACAGCCGATTGAGCCTCCTTTCTCTTGGCATTTCCTCTCTCTATCCCTCCCCCCGGTTTCGTCCAACCAAAACCCCTACACCACCAACGGCATATCACGACATAAACACACATGGCACACACCTATCGCACACCGCTCACCGCACGCACCGCATACTATCTGTACACACTACACACAAGCACGACGCCACCAGACGCCAACGCTGGCGGCGCACCACTGTCACTCTTCAACGACGGATGTGCCCGTCTACACGATGCCCGCCCTTAGTACAGCCGATATCTGCAGATCGGCCACTAGAGGCTTGTATCTCTTCGATGGCGTCTTGTGTTACCGTCACCCATCCACCACCACGTTCCCGGCCCCCCCAGCCACTCTGCACCCTTCCCATGGCTTTTGGGAGCGCAAATCGCGGGAAGCATACAGGAATCGTCTGTGCCTGGCCTGGCCCCGGCCTGTAGTCCCGGACGAGACTCGAGACTGAGAGTAAACGTCGTGGGAGCCGTGGGAGCGTACCTTAGTGCCGTGTCAAAAATGTGTCGCGCTTGTTCGTCCGTCGTCCAAGATCGCCAAATGTTGCCCCAATCCTCCCACACCCCACGTTCCCTTCTCAAAGTTGAAGGCTCCTAAGAATACGACGTCGAAAGATACGGACTGAGATACGACTCCCGCCGAGGTCGATGCCACCGTCTCGTTTCTGGCAGGGTTGCGCACACAAACAGTCAGGTACATACCCAAGGTGCTCCGTACACGCGCGCAAAGTTGCAGCCGATGAGCGAACCCCAGAGTTCCTGCATGTCACGACCAGTCAAGGGTTCAACAAGTCTCCTAGCGTCCGCAAAACGCACAGTTCGCCTCATCGACGTGTGTGGTCGGGTCGGGTTGGCGCACGACGGGTACGGTACTACGGATACACTGCGGCGGTAGGTGAATGTAACCCTCCACGTTGGAAACGCGGGCCCCTCGTTCAAAACAGAACGTAGCCGTCTCTACACCCGGGAATACGCCGTAGACTTGTGGAGTCTCCTAGGTGTATTAGGACGATACCACGGTGAGTTATTTGGCTCATACTGAAAGCTCTTCAGAGGGCCTTGATTCACCAGTGAGGCGTGCTGCGTGCATAGCACTGTGAAGGTGGCGGTCTGGGAGTCGGAAAAGGCCCGACGGCGTGGCGGACTCATCTCTCCCAACCAAACAAACTCTTCCTGTCAAGATAATGCAGCAACAAGCTGCCGCACCAGTATTAACGCCAACGCCAACAGATGGGATGTCAGGTCTCGAGCCGAACCATACTAGGCCAGACCAAGTCACAAATCGCTCAAGCTTCTATTTCCAACGTGGTATCCGTCGAGGACAGGGCAGATGCAACCGCGAGAGTTCCGTCGCGTTGCATTGTCCCATCTTATCATCAGAAGAAGAGAAAAGTCAACGAAAATGACCAGCTAGCAATCTTCACTTTGACTGAAACCAGGCGAACGACCTCGAACAGAAACAGCCCCCAGAGCTCCATCAGTCTGGCCGTCAGCCGTCCTACGGTCCTACGGCGGCGGAGGCGCTTACTATCCTCGTCCTCCGATCCTCGTCGTCGTCCTCAGCTTGAATCAGCCTTCGACTCCACTCCCAGCCACTAGAGACCCTGTTTTCTGCTCATAACGAGGATCCAGTTTTATTTTTATGTTATGCTCTTCGGTTCGTTTTGCCATGAATCTCTTTGTGCTTCGCTGATTCGTGACGTGGGGTTTCCCAGAAACGGCGCGTTGTCAAACAGGTTCCCATCAATTACCCAGTCCAAGTCTGAATCTGATGGAGGAGAGTCCAGGGGTCCCTCTGTGACGTGCCGTCGTTGTCGTAGCCGTCGTCGTCGTCCTCGTCGTCGTCGAGTGGCACCCGTCCGAGGGAAAGGCCCCTTCCCTAAAATTGGGCATGGGCCGAATCGTCTTAATGCAACAATGGGAACTCCATTCCATTCCTCAAATCCTCCTCGGTTCCTTATTGATACTACTACGTAGAGGCTAGTGGTTTCCTGTGGATACGGGGCTAATCGCGCCGATGGATATTTCACTCTCACTCTCTTCGTGTCCTCGGTATCCATTCCTGGCATTCCATGCTTTCCCAGGCTGTCCCGACCAATGAAAGGCCTTGAATCGGGGGGTATATCTCCTTGTCTCTTATGAACAAAAAAGATTAATACAAAGAAAATAAGGGCAAACCCGCCTACCCCATCGTCCCCATCTCCGTACCTCGGGACCGCACCGGCGTGGTCGAATTGATGTGGTTTGCGCGAATGACGACGTTCGTGCTATACCCGGACGGCGGTCGGCGCGAATTGAGCGCCGGGCTGGCCATGCCGCAGCGCAGAAATACCCGCTGCTAAACAAGTAGAGTCCGCGGATCTTGACCGCCTCATTATTTCGGAGAGATTGTGATTTGCCCACACGCACATCTCCGCGCAGGCGCGCACCATGGACGAGGCTTTCACGACTCACGAGGGCACGCTACCGTTCGCGAGGCTCCAGTTTCTCCTCCATCTCTTCTGCTTCCCCATCGTCCTTCCCCAGTATTTCTCAACTCCGGTCCCATTTGTTTGGCGCACCGACGACAACAAGGCCATCTCCGACCCGGGTTTCCAGGCACACCAGGCTTCCAGCAGGTTCTTGGTTCTCTCAAAGATCCTTCAATTCGACCAACCAAGGCCAACTCTTTAGTGGGCTCCTATGAGCTTGGTAGTGGGCGAGGCCGGTAGTGATCGGCCGTATTCCATTCTAAACACGGCCCCCAATGGCCGACCACTTACCTGTCATGCCTGTTACCAAAGAGAAAACCATGCCCTGTATTTTCTCCAAGCAGCAAAGAGGATACCCCAAGGGCAGGCCCCAAGAATGGAGTCGCTTTCCAAGTTGTGAACCAAGAAAGCCACCGGTCAATTGGCCGTCCCCATGGGGGTGGTTGATGGTTCAATCGGTGTAACTCGGTGATTTTTTTGGGGTTATGCGATGTTCGATGTAATCCCCATGCTCCTGCAGGCCAGCCTCGATTTCTTGTTTCCGTTGGAAGTCACTCGTCAGAACGTCCCTCGAAATTGTCTTGGCAAGACTGCAACTGATTCAGCGCAAGACTTTGCCAAGTCGCAGATTTGGTCATCCAAGTGCCGTAATAACTTGCGGCACGTATCAACTTTCGCCGTTTTGGAAACATGGCTCGTGCCTCCTGGGCCATACAGCCGTACACAAAAGTCCTGCAGGGTCCGTTTGACCAGTTTTGGTTCATGGCTGGATGAGCACGGAAGTTATACATAGTACTACCGCTGCGGCACCAGATCAACAACGTGATTGACTAAGGTAAGACACACGCAGACAAACTGCACTGCAGAAATGTGATGCTCGTACGGGGTGGAAAGGGGGGACCTTCTAACGGTCTTTCTGCAACCACCTCAAACGACGTAGAGACGACACACGTTCCTCGAGAGAGAAGAATCTGTAAGCCTGTGGCCTGTGGCGCTTGTAGAATTCATGCCTACACTCACTTCTGCATGCTTGGCACGCTCGACGCTTGGGGTTTGCCTGTCCCGTACGGAGAATCCCTCCGTAGAGGGAAGAGTGATCGCCCATCAATCCCGTCGGGCGGGAAGGGGGGAGAGACGTCTGAACTCTCTTTCCCATTTTTTCGTCTCATCGCATCTTTTTTCTAAAAAAACACACAAGCAAAAAAAAAAAAGTTGCTCTCGACCAACAGATTCCTCCCCATCCAAAACACCTAGCGGACCTTTACAAACCCGCCAAGAGCACCCAAGAGTTTCCAAGAGGTTCTCAAGCCTTTTTTCCCACCCTGATCCGTCACCCCAAGAAGTCCCAAGACGATTTGCCGGCATTGAAGCTTTTTCGATGCTCACGAATATCGGTCTTGGCCCGGTTGAGGCTGGGGGCCAGATCGGCATTGGCGTTTCTTTTCCCGCATGTCGTCCTCTCTTCCTGTCACCCTCTCACGGGCATTGATGAAGTCTTGGTTCTCCAATCCCAAGCCGGGTACCAGATTTCTTGTCGAGATCCCCCCAAAGACCCCTTGGCCAAGAATTCTGTTGAAGCATTGATGGCCACCTTTCCTCCGTGTTTGTCTTCTGTCCTATCGTGGTAGTTACACTCGACAGCCAAGAAGTTTCAAGCAACATGCCATTTCTTGGCCTGTAAAACAATGGTCAAATTCCCATCTCCCCTACCCGTACCCGTACGGCTAGATATCTATTCTATTCTCAACCCAGCCCTGAGCTCCCCTTCTGCTCTGATTGGGGAGCATTGATGATCCCCGGATTCTTGGTTCCCCTTCGTGAAGAGCTCGGATCTTTCCTCCGGGTGGCTTTGTTTTGTCTGCCTCGCCGTTGCCGGTCTCCCCAGGAAATGTCACCGTCGGGCACCTATCAAAACTCCCCGCCATGCCAAATGTCAAACCAACCCCCCAAGGTTCCATCCTCCCACCCAAACCCCAACCCCCCGCGTAACTGGGGGGCGTTTTTTCAGAAACGACGATGGGGGAGAACCAAGTTCCAAAACTTGCAAGTGCCGAAGTGAAGGAGGATCGTGACATGGGGTGAACACGGATAATATGTCACATACAACTATGCAGAAAATATCCCAGTTGGAGATCATCCATTGAGTGACACACCTTCTTTTCACACACGCAGATCAGATACCATCCCGCAGGCATTCTCTGTCCAGGAATAGCACATCTCCAGAGTTCCATATTTGGCAATGGCGGCACGGCGGCCGGCGGGTACGGTCCGTACGGATAGAGTCGTCCCTGGCAAGGCTGAGTAGAAACTCACGAGAGCCAAGCAAAAAAAAAAAACCACTGCACTAGTAACAAGTCACCAACCAACCAACCTCCTCCTCCTCCTTCCCCTCGGCTAAAAGCCTCAAGGTATGGTTCATATGCAGGACCGTAGATCCCCCGGAGTAGGCCGTAGTCTAGAAGAAAGGGCGGTGGCCTGCTTTTCTTGGCGAAAGGACGAGGGGAAAAAAAAAAGAGGAAAGCCAATCGTCTCGGATGCTTTGCCCCTCCTTCCCCTCCCCCTCCCCCTCCTCCTCCGATAGAAAACTTCCTTTTCTTCCCGAAGTGCTCCAGCCACAGGTGGTGACGTGGGAACGGTTAACCAATGAGGCGGGATTCAACAGCCCTGCGGTCTTTAAGCAGAGACGCAGAGTCGTAATGTAGCAAGCAAGGTTCCGGGAGATCTACCCCTAAGCCGCATAGGCTTGTTGGCGACGTACCAGCCGAGTGTGTGATATGGTGAACCTGTTCTGCTTATTCGTTAGCGATGAAGATATGGGGGGTGATGAGTTGTTCGCCGGGCCGCGTAATGAGGGACGAGGAAAGGCCAAGAGTTTGATGATGATGTTGATGATGTTGATGATGTTGATCATTCATGAAGATGAAGGAGGTCTTCGTCGTCGTGGCAAGAGGTGGATTACACATCACAAGAGGGCAATGCCACACTTGGCAATGCAACAGGCAAGTAAGTCTATCTCTCTATGACGGGAATGAACAATCGTGATTGATGGTTTCGTAATAGAAGCTATGAATGGTGCCAAAATAAGAAACCCTAAGCTCATATTCTACCAGAACTCACTTACAGACAAGGCAAAGCCCCCCGTGATATCAAACAGTCAACCGCCACAAGTCGCCGCAACGCCATTGCCAAGAGACTCTCCCCTCTCGTCAACGGACGATGACGAGGGGAGCCCCAATCCTCAAGCCACCCCCCAGACCGAAAATCATGAACATGGTTCCCACAGAACACGTACACACCAATCATCCTCTCTTCACTTTACTTTCCTGCCGCGACACCCTCGACGAAGCTCAGCGCCTCTTCGGTAGGTACACAGTCAATGGAACTCGTCTTGCTGTGGAAAGTCACGCCGTAGCACTTGTCGGCGACGTGGACAATCTCGGGTCGGAAGGTGGTGCAGATGAACTGCGTTCCGGCCTCTTGGGAGATTGACTCCAAAAGGCTGGCAACAGCGGTACGGTACTGGGCGTCAAGGTTGGCGTCAACCTCGTCGAAGATGACCATGGGACTGCTCTCCGTTTGCTGAAGGGCAAAAATGAGACACAGTGCACACAAACCTGGGCGAGTTGTTAGCAAGACTGGTACGATCACATTAGGGAGAGAGCCTGGCTTACTCTTTTGACCACCACTGAGTTGCTGGATCCTCTGCTGCTCGTCCAAAGTCTTTGAGTTGAACGATACACTGATACCGACACCAGTGTAGTTCTCAACGCTGCGGTTCTGCTCCTCGTCGGACTCCTCAGGGTCGACGCGGCGATCTGTCCGGCGTTGGATAACCAGGCGCCCGTGTCCAGCCGGGACGAGCTTCTCAAAGATGGTGGCGAATTCCTTGGACACTTGCTTGAAGGTACGCTCAATGGCCTCGTCCTTGCGCTGGTCGAGATGGGCAACAAGCTCCTCGATGGACTCCTGCGAAGCATCCAGTTCTTTCCTGCGCTTCAGGAGCTGGTCCTGTTGCTGGGTGAAACTGTTGTACTGTTCAAACGCCTTCTTGTTGACGTGCTGGAACTTCTTGAGGGCATTGCGGACCTTCTTCAACCGTGAGTCGATTTGCCTGGGATCCATCCTCTCGTACTTGTCAAAGGCCTCCTCGGGCAAGACTCCAAGGTCTCTGATCGCCTTGGCAGCATCCGCAGCCTGCGCCGTGTAAACGGCCTTCTTGGACATGCTCTTCTCGATCGAGCTGCGTTGCTTGGCTTCTCTTGCGGCAACGGTGCTGCGGATCTCTTCTTGCTCTGCCTTCTTGGCCTCGCGGCGGTCGAGCTTGCCGCCCTGCTCCTCGAGCTTCTCCTCTATCTCCTGCATCTTGGCTTCGATGGCGGCGGTCTCTCGTTGGAGCTTCTTGAGTTCCCTCTGCGCCTCCTTAAGGCTGCCAGATTCTCCCGAAGAAGTGTTGTTCTCGAAGGCCTGACTGTTGAGTTGATCCAGACGCAACTGAAGGTTCTGATTGATGTCTGTCTCGAGGATCTGCTTCCGGCTTTCCGCTTCTCTCCGCTTCTTGCTGGCATCGTTCCACTCCTTTTGCAGGCGTTGCACTTGCGCGTCCAGCTCGACAAGCTGTCTCTCCTCAGCATTACTGAGCGACTTTTTGAAGTCTGACGCGAGTTCAGACTCGTTTGCAGCAAGACTTTCGGTAAAGATCTTCATGTCTCGCTCAACGGCATCGCGGTGCCTCATAGCGTCGTTGAGACGTCGCTTCTCGTGCTCGAGCTGTCCGTTCTTGTTGGCAAGTTCGTGCCTCAGAGGTTCAAAGCCGCTTTCTAACTGACGAAGTTTCTGCTCAGCCTTCTGAACTTCACCCATGGCACGAGTGATTTCCTGCTCCTTCTGTTCGATCTGGCTTCTAATCCGATCAGACTGCTGCAGGAGCCGCTCATACTCGTCTCTCCACTTGTTAACAGCCTGAACGCCTTCAAGCCTAGATCGCCTGGGGTCGATGTAGCCACCAGTCATCGCACCCCTCTTGTTTGTGGTATCACCATCCAGTGTAATGGCATCAACACCGTGACTCCTTGCGTACTGGCCTCCTATGCTCAGGTTGGGGCACACGACGACTTTGCCGAAAACTTGCTGGAAAGCCTTCTCGTACATGGGATCGTAGCGAATCTTGCTCCAGAGCGGTACGATTCCATCCTGAGATCTCGG